TGCTCCTGCTCCTGCTCCTGCTCCTGCTCCTGCTCCTGCTCCTGCTCCTGCTCCTGCTCCTGCTCCTGCTCCTGCACCTGCTCCTGCTCCTGCTCCTGCTCTTGCTCTTGTTCATTCTCATGCTGATCCTTCTTCTCTGCTCCTGATCCTGCTGCTTCTGTCCTTCTGTCTGCCACTCGCCCCATCAGGCTGCACTGACATGGTCGTTGTCGTCCTGCTGATCTCGCTCCAAGCAGGCTCATGAGGGCCTCAAGATGCCATACCGTCACAGACCTCCCTCTGTCCATGTCGAGCATCTCCCTGCTGGCAGGTACGGCGCCGTCCCCTCCACACGAGAGGACGTGATCGACCCCGGGTCCATCGACGGGAGCGAAGGTCATCCAGGCATCATCCATGACGTACATCACGCGTCCAAGGTGTATCAGTCAGTGTCGGAGGGACTCTATGGCACCGAGAACTACAGCATCGCCCTCTGCTGCTTGTTCGCACTCCTGGCTATTGTCCAGTTGGGCATCGCCGCCAACATTCTGTTCCGCTATGCGCCTGCTCTCGCTCGCATGCTGGGGCCTGTCGCAGGGAACTGGACCCGATCGAAGGCGCAGTGGATATCAGCGCTGGTGCCCGCCTCGGTAGCTCGATGCTGTGCGTTGCTGCTGCTGATTGCAGACTTGCGTGCTAAGGTAAGGAGGGGGAGGGGAGGAGGGGGAAGGGAGGAGGGGAAGGAAGATGAGATGTGGAGCAGGAAGGGATGAGGGGGAGGGAGAGGGAAAGAGGGATGGAGTGAGGGTGAGAGGGGGAAGGGGAGGGAGGGAGGGAGGGAGGGAGGGAGGGAGGGAGGGACGAGGGGGAGGGAGCGATTGGCGGGAGCTTACAGGAAAGAGAAGCAAGGGACGCTAACCATTATGGTGTGATAGGCGGATGGAGCTGGACCTTGGGATATCTCGTTTATGTTTGAGATGTCGTCGTTTTTCGATGCAGTTTCTTCATGGTTGTTCTACACGATCAAGGTGAGGCAGTTGTTGTTCGGAGTTGAGCTTTGCTGCTCGTTGACTGTGAGAAGAGGAGAGATGAGATGAGATGAGATGAGATGAGATGAGATGAGATGAGATGTGGTGTGATACTTGTAATGCTTTTATGAAAAGGTTGCAGCCATATCAACATGGCTGGCATATCGAGGAGGGAAAGGAGCTCAATGCAAACATTATTTGTGCTGCAGCACAGTAGCGTCGGTCATGTTGGCAGGTGAAGTGTCTCGACACGTGTTAGTGATGCAGTGAAGAAAGAATCTTGATGTGCGAGATGATTGTTGTATCGGATGAGAGTGAAATCCGTTGATCCTTGACAATCAGTCGCTCTTGCCGTCACAGTCACACTGAGCCTCAATTACGGAGCTCTTTGCCTTCAGGTTTTGTTTCGATCCCTTTGAACTCCCCTAACTTCCGTCCGCTAGACTCGTTCTATCAAGATCTGCGAAGAGCGACAGTCTTGGTTGGTCCTCTCAAGACGATCGAAGGTTGAGAATGTGAATGTCTGTATGTTCAGGTACAACACATTCCACGTCATCATGGTCATAATATCCGTCGGATCTTGCTTTATCTTCACCGTGCTCATTGCGCAAACAACAACTTGCCCGTGCATGTAAGTTTCTTGTCGAACAATCCTTCATTTTTTCCTCGCTCTCAACTTTCCTTCCTTGCTTCTCCTCTCCTTCTCTCTGGCATCTTGTACCTCCTTACACCAACCCCATCCAACCATGCCTCCTTCAATGCGCCTCTGTCACTTTCCCTGCCTTCATCTCTGCATGTCAAAGTGATGGAAGATGTTTGTCGAACTTGCACAGAACAAGCAGGGAGTTTGACGACTCTGATGTGGAACGAGACAAGTTCTTGTGGAGCTCTGGGGATGCGGTAAGAACGTCTACAACCAAGGGTTCATGTACTCTGATCATCACCACCATGATCATCCTCTTTATTCCTTTTCTCGACTCACGTTCATCAATCTTCCTGCTCCTGCTCCTGCTCCTGCTCCTCCTGCTCCCCTTCCCCTCCCCTTCCTGTTCCTCCTGTTCCTCCTCAACTTCCACCACTTCCACCTACTCCAGTTTCTCCCTTCTGCTTCTTCTTCTCCTCCTTGTACTCCTTTCCTCCTTCTTGTCCTCCGCTCCTCCCTGAAACCTCTTGTCCTCCTCTCAAGTCTCTCCTTTCCATACCTCTTCTATCTCCCTTTCCTCCTCCTCCTCGATTAACTTGTCATCATGACCAGGAATCCATCAACGAGACTAGGATGGAGCAGAGGCTGCGGCAGGAAGGG